GGCCACGTCCCACAGTCACTCACAGACTAGAATCGCCTGAGACGAACAATAGCGAAGGTCTTCGCGGCAACGTCCATAAGGCTTTCGGTGGTAGTTCTCGCATCTTTTCTTATTCCCCTTTTTGAAGACAGGTGCGAAAATGCCTGAATCCTAGTTATCGGGGACGGTCCATCTCTCCACGCTTGTCCAAACACTTAATGAAGCCAAGGAGCCAGAGTGCTGATACAGGACCTGTATATTTAAGTGGGTACACCTTCCAGTTGTGAGCAATCAAGCCACCATTCACATCATGAACAGTAAGTTAGTAAAGAAAGCTTACCGCTAACTTTTCCGATAAGTTCGTCAAGTTTCCGCGTAATACTAAAGTTTACGGCCTGTTCCATGGAGATCGCTGTTTCAGCCCAGTATTTCTTCATGTCCTCCCTAGCCGATTTTGCCGTAGTCTTTCTTAGCTCGGTGATTCATACTGTTTGTGACATTTTGCTTCTACGCTGTAGGTTGGACACTTTTTCTTGACAAGTACTTACATAATCTCTGCGCTTTTCTATTTGTTGTTTAGATACTCCGGGTGACTGTATGGACGTTGACGAAGTCGAAAAAGAGGCTATTGAAAACGAGGATCCAGACAAACGAATTTCAATTATGGCTGCTGACAAGGCGACCCATGGTGACAACGAATTCTATGATAGCGCTGAGGAAGATGGTATTGGCCTCCATGCCCAGCATTCGTCCACTAAGCCTAACAAGGATGCTCAGAGTTACAAAAATCTGCCAAAACGTGCCCGAACTGAGGATAAAGACGTGCCGGTAGGAACTAAAGATGCCACAGTAACTGATGCACCCCCTGTACGTTTTTGTTTACTGGCTGTTATCCTACCTCCTAGTGCGGTCAAGTTCAAATGAAGTGCTCTGATGATCCTAGCAAGCTAGACTGCATTCGGTTGTTGTTTGAAGACCACCTCTTTAAGAAACATGACTCTTCGGCCTGCATCCAAATAATAAACGATGCCGCCTGATGAGTCAGATTTATTAATTAGTTTCCAAGGTCTAGCAATCCAGAGTCGAGCTCCTTATCCTTCGCGGGTTATGGGTATTTTTCGATACTCCAACTGCATACCACCTCGAACACAAATTCGCCCAGCTTCCATATACCTTATTTTATTTTTTATCTTCGAAATTTTATTCTGTCCTTTATTATAACTAACGGGTTGGGATCGTTAGCCATGTACGAACTATCAAGAGTTTATCTGTTCTCCCTTATCGACAGGATTTTTCTTCCTCGGCTCCTCCTTTGATGCGAAAAGCGGTTTACAATACATTCCTTTCAACTTGAGGATGCATATTTAAAAATTCAACATTCTTTTCTTCATACTTTGTGCCCATAGTTACCTCGACTTCCCTTTAGCCAGTCAGATTTGACACTGACACAACTATTATTAGCGCCCTTGTTCAAGCGTATGTTTTGAATGTTCTCACTTTTTGATATAACGCACTCATTGTGAATAGCCGGGGTGTATTTTTCAGCCCTCGTCGCTCTCACCGTCGTCAATGGACTCAGTCGCTCCATTCAGGCATCACTGAATATTAACGCAGTTTTTTTGCCGAATTTTAAATTTAGTTGTCATCTCCCCAATTACTAGTTCTCCTTTCCTTTCCAGAAGGAAACCGAAGCTTCCGAATCCGGTGACAAGGAGGATTTGGATCATGCCGCCAAACCTGCCGCCACAAAGCCAACTTGATGCGACTAGTTCAGTCTCGTCATTCTTCCCATGTGGGCCTTTTTGCCCTGCCCCAAACAACTTCTACATATTTTGCAATAACTTGCTAACACACACTTGAAAAGTAATCTGCCGATCCTACTGTTTCACCCCACTGAAGTCGGCTCTTTTGTGAATCGCATTTAACTTCTCGTGTGCGTCTTCTGTCCCTTGTGACTGTATTCTGTACAGCAAATTTCAACCCTTGTCATTTGTGTATAACATTTATCGGATGGTTTTTATACTGTTGCAACTATCAAAAGTGTTGTTTTGTTTTGCACAGGTGAGGTCAACATCAAATAATTGTCCCGTATCGGTCCGTTAGTTTTCAGTTAGTTTTAACTATCTAATCGCGGTGTGGGATTTTTGTGAAGACCTACATATATGCCGCCATCCACTTGTCTGCATGGCCTTTCACGCTATTCGTCATTTCTGTTCCTGCGTGGTTTTTTTCTTAGTGGTAGCTCTGCCACGAGTACTGGTAACCCACTCATAGTGGTTACGACTGTTGTCATATTTGTTTTAACAAACCTTGACCGTGTTTTGTAGCCATACATATTGAATGGGTTGGTGTATCCTTACGTTCACTGCGTTCTAGTGAGTTGACTTGCGGTGAGATGAAGGGGCTTCACCTGGATGATCGTCAGAGTTCCGGTGCCCGAGATCGTTTTCATTCCCATTCAAATAGAAGTTGCGGAGGCCTGCATTTGTATTCATAGCTAGAACCCAGTGCAGGAGTTCTCGCTGCATGTTCTTCGTATTGATTAATATATCGCGGAAAGTATTGGTAAGTTTCACATTGTGGAAAGATTCTATGGGAGCAGTAGCAAACAAAATATGGGGTTTATCGCCGCAAGACCTTACCTCAAAGCTCCCTCTCGATATCTGCTTTGTCCAGAACCACACGACTACATCAGAGCTTACTTGTATGTAGGCTGAGTGGCAGGGCGAAAAATAATCTAAGATGAGATAATTGAATGCTAACACATTGAGCATCGACTTTTAGGTGGTCCGAGTGCTTCGGTTGATGCTCGCGTCTGTCCAAATTGTCAGTAATGGAGCAGGCATTCACGCTGTGGCCAACGTCGTCTGCAGGTTTGCCTGATATATAGTCGATTTTCCATTGTTACCGGCGTTTGAGGCCTGTTCCAAGTAGGTTGATCTTCTGGTTCTCGCTACGGGGACCTCCGCATCTAAGGAAAAGTGACCCTGTGGGCAGAACGCCACCAAATTTAGTTCTTCACAACGAACAAGCTCAGTCAGGCCTGGATTTGTCTGATTAGACAACCCTGTATTCGCCTGTGCGTAGCTGACACGGTGGAGTTTATAAACCTGACCACTATTACAGCTGTCGTATTAACCCACTAAAGTCCGTCCAAAAATTAGGCAGACCGCACTAATTTGCGTTTAACTGCCGTATCTGAGGTTTCCACGTGAAATATAGTGTTCGGTCTGACAGTTGTGGCACATGACGTCAACAAAGGCGACTCTCCATTAGCATTACAATGTTTCTTCGTCCGAAAGACACTACTGAAGAACCAGTTCCATCAGAACGGCACTCTTTTGAAGTCCAGTTGTCAACGGCGATCCTATTCCACCTGAAAACGGTACTACCACTTTGGCTAGGCCTCATTATTTAAATTAACTCGGGTCATTACTCTAATAAATTCGATTGTATCGAAATATCAACGGTCAGAACATCTTCCTCACTACCCAACCCAAAATAAATACGGAGAAGCATGAAAATCCTGGTTTCAATGGTCAACTAACATCTTCTGTCCATGCTCAAAGTGTGACTGCTGTATTGAAACCTGTTATTCGAGACCGGCCTCATTATTTGAATGTATGGAGAAGTCTATCCGGATCGGGCTATTCGCTAGTCACCTCAGTTAAATTTGCGCCAGTACATCCGGTTATAACCAGTACTCACCAGTAATGAATAGAAGTCAGCCATCAAATTAGAAAGCTTAAAATGTTCGTTGTTTAATCTTGTGGAACAGTCGTCTGTCTAAATAAATCCTTTCTCCCATATACATCATGCCGTAGACTGTAAACCCGGATAGAAGGAAAATAAGCAGTCTTAAGAAACATTATTCGATTCACTTTTAGTATTTTGTTCACAGTTGGAAATCACCTAACTGACTATGTCACCAGAGAAGCACCATTTTTTAACAACAGGACAAAAATATTTCCCGACTCATAACACCGTACCCCCCAAACTGGGTATGAATTAGTTAGTATGTAGTCCGTGAAAACCCAATGCAATAGCGGAGCGTATTAGTGGCACGAGAATGAGGCTGACTACAATGGGTCTCTGCACTCCAACTTATTTTTCTGGGGAAGAAATCGAGTTGGTATAATTTTCTTATCAGAATTTCCTGTCATATGTGGGTACTCTGAATCAGCACATGTGATGTTAATATGATCCTGTGCCTACGGTCGTTGACTACCGCCGGCCGTGGAAACTGCTCCTAGCGTCGCATGACGTAACCAATGCACGTCACTATTTGTGCTGACTGTGCAATTATAAATCTAATGCATTATTTCCAGACTGCATTTTAAAAACGCATGTAGTCAATTCATGTCCAATTGGGCTTCAATAGTTAGAGAAGCTCCTCTAGTCCTCGGTGGTGCCATCGCGTAGTGTTAAGGCTAAGACGGTTAATCCTAACGACTGCGCTCTTCCACGCCCGGTTCCTTAGGAGAAGAGAGAAGTCATGGGAAGGCCAGAGCGGTAGGAAGCGTGTATTCTGTACAGAATAAATGGGAGAAGAGGCAGTAGGAAATTAACTATCAGACGACCGCAAGCCAGCGGACAGCGTCTGAAGTGCTGTCTGCTCGGCAGTCGTCACATGAGGTCCTGTCTGAGTCGGCCTGTGATTGGCTGTTCGAGAGACCGGAAACAGAAAGCGACCCCAAAATGCACTTCGACTTCAGCTTGTCATGACAAGCGTTCACAACTGCACCTGACGTGGAGCTACTCACTGCCATGCATTACTTGGAGTTACATTTGACGGGCTGATGACGGCTAATGAACCAGAAATGGTCTTTCCAGTCCCTCTTATCTTCGCCGGCAATTTAATCCTAAGTTTTTATTATAAACCGAAAAAAGGGAGTCAAATTATATGCTATTAGACGTAGGCATATCGGTATTAAATGACGCAATAAGCTATATGAGACAAGATTCTATAAGTATCAGTATTAAAAGCTCGCCTGGATAGCGTTTTTGACTTCAAATCGAACTGTGAGATGCGATGTAAGTTTTGCCTACGATGGTTGGAAAACATGTGATGACCACCTCAGGCTTGTTTTCCATTAGAATACAGTAATTGTCCGACCCCAGACGATCATCTGGGATAAAAACTGGAGTCAGCTAACCAAACACACCCCACTTGAGCAACGGATTGATGTGTAGCCGGCAAAAAGCACCCACATTTGTTGGGCTGAACCTGACATGTGATGAAATTCCAGAACCAATTACAGAGGCATATGATTCTTCATTAACTCACAGTGTCTCAGGAAAAGCAATCAATAGGTTAATGATCTTTAGTAAAAAGAAGCACGGAAAGGTTGCTCCGAAATAACATTCTTCGTGAAATGCATTGATGGCCATCTACTAACGACCTACGATCGACAAATGTATGCTTTTACTTTAAATGTGCTGATAATATGGTTGTTGGCCATCCTCTCAAAAGTCAGATACATCGCCAAGTACTGAAAGATGGCCTGGATCACGTCTCACTATGATCGTCAGCAAATGGCTTTCTACTTAACGACCAGAAGTCACTCCAGTGTGTTCTTCGACTGCGACACTCTCCCAGTCCGGAATCCATTGACATTCTGCCCAAGGAGGTAGGCTCTTTACGGTACCTTGGTGTCAATCTGGCATCTAACCTCTAATTTGTTCTTCATACCGAAGGCCTTTTTATTAAAATCCGTAAACTTTTATATTATATCCGCCGTTTACTTTCATATCGCACACCGCAAGCCCTTGTAGCGACCTTGCACTCTAACAACTGCCTGTACCACATGTCTGGCCTTCGTGTGCGCCAACGCGTACGCGCCGGCAGTGCCAAGGTCATTCTCTGTCTGGCTCACTGGCCAACTACTTCTCAAGGTCAGACCAGTGCACGAGATGCGGGAGATTTGTTTACGCTCATTCACTTCCAGACCCGACGACTCAATGTTCGGTTGTAGCTGTCGGGATCCGGTGATCTACTTGCCGGACTATGCCTCTGGACTCCGGCCCATTCATGGCTGGACTACACTTGTCTGGGAGTCACTACATGTTACTCATATCCTACTCCTTCTAACCTTATTAAATCATTCATAACAATCTGGCCTTTCACGCCTTATCCTATCCACTAGCTCATATTCGTTGGGATACGTTCTCTCGTCTATTATCCGGCTGGACCACATCGTATCCCACACCCTAATCGCGTGATTTATAGAGGCCTGCATTCTCCCCCTCATTATTTACTGTTCTCCAAGTTATTTTTCCAGCTTTACTTAAAAAAAACTTGATCATTTTTAAACGCATCCTCCGAATGCTCTCTTCAGCTGCCGGTGTTTCTTATGTTTTTTAACTGACATTATAATGCAGTGACACTTTAAAAGGGTCAAGCAATTTGCTGATCGCATCCTTAGTGAGGTCTATCATACTCTCCACTTTGAACTAATGGCTGCGATATCTTCCCGTACTATGCGCCGAAGCTCCCGTTATATGTCTTGCTGTACATCGGCATATCAGCACTATATACTCTCATTCCTAGCAAGTCACCTCACGTGTGAAGAAACGGAAATTGAGAAGTTGAAAGCCAACCTGTCTCCATAACAAATGTGGATATCGTGTGAACCTTTAACTTTGAATATTCTATGACCTTTTACGTTATCCTATCCCTTGCTCTCCGAGAATGGAACCACTTTTTGCTGAACATTTTGGATACTTAACTTCAAAATAAAGCCTATTTCTCTCTCCCATG